AATTTTTTTAAACTTTTTTTAAAAAAAAAAAAAAAAAAAAAATAAAAGCATGACCCGACCCCCGCCCCGGGGGGCTGGCCGCCCCCACCCCCATCTCCCGCGGTGGGCGGGGTCCGGGTGCGGGGGGGGGGGGGGGGGGGGGGGGGGGGGGGGGGGGGGGGAAATAGTTGGGCAGCTCTGCCTTTCGAGTGCATGTCGCTAACTTCGGGCAAATGGCTGCAATCGAGGAGGACATCAATCAAAATTGCTTAGTGGATAGACCGTCGATGTTCGATCTCCTTCCTTCCTGATAAGTGCGTACTCAGAATTGAACTTTCGTGGACACCTCCGACAGAAAACGTGACCAGATTCACTGAAGCCAATCCGAGAGCGGGTATGCCCAAACTCAGTGAAGGACCGAAGAAAACTGTCAGTCAGCCACAGTCTCACTTTTCTTGTGGAGTTGGGTTCAACTAGCGAATTATATTCAAACACACACAAAAAAAAAAGGGAATATTGAAAAACAAACGGAAAAAAAAAAAAAAAAAAAACGCAAATTTACACAGTAATACACACAATCCCTTGATTGTGAGGTAGCAATGGTTGCAGGGGTCCCCTCTATATAGCCTTAGGAGTAGAGGTAGGTAGGTAGGTAGTGAAAGGCAAAAAAAAAGAATTTGAGAGAAGAATGTAGGGTAGTTAAAAAACAAAGACAAAAAAAACAAAAAAAACAAAAAAAACAAGCGGATACTCGAAAAAGAAGGGAAAGAAAAGAAAAAAGAAAAAAAAAAATCGCATACTTTCCTTGGAGCATTTACAGAGAATTGCATCGTTTTCCTGAATAGGATGCACAAGCATTCAGAGGTAATGAATTAAGCGCAGGTTTCTTGGCAGGTGCACTCGTGCATGATGATGCCTGTGGAAACGCACCAGAGGTACAAAGCGAATGCCAGGAAACCAGCACGGAACTAGCCGTGTACTTTCAGCTAACTTTCACGGAAGCTTCACTACTTCAGTGAAGCCAAACCGCTTTGACTTACCCGTACTGTTGATTCCAACATAGTTTTAAATTGTCAGCTAAATTTCATGTGCAAAGAAAGAAAATTCCAAAATTCGTCAGCTTGGGCCAAGCTGACTAATTCCCCCCCSCCCCCYCYSCCCYCCCCCCCCCCCTTTCCCCCTCCCAAGATTTAGGCCGTTTCGAACTGTTCATGTAACGCGTGTTGCGCATGAGCCAACGGGTATTTCTTTTTTTTTTCCTTCTTTTTTTTTTTTGAGGAGAGGGGGGGGAGGGGGGGGGGAAGGGAATTGGGGGAGGGAATTGGGGGTGGAGCAGATCAACGAGAGGCAAAGGGCCACAGCCAGTGGTGTGACAAACTCTCTGTCATCGAATTCAACGACGAAAAAAAAGACGGGGAAAAAAATACAGTAAATCATCATACGAGCAAAGGAAAGCCTGATGGCTGACTGGTAGGGCGGCCCATTTAAAAAAAAAAAAAAAAAAAAAAAAAAAAAAAAAAAAAAAAAAAAAAAAAAAAAAAAACAAAAAAAAAAAAAAAAAAAAAAAAAAAAAAAAAAAA